GAACATGCTGACAGTATGAATGATGTTTATGAACATTTATTTTTATACAGGATAGAAATTGAAGGTAAAGACACGCTAACCCTTCGCCTTTCACTTGCTGCTGCTCTCTTTCAGGTTGTTTTCTCAGAAAGCTCTGAAAAGGAAGAGGAAGCCTGTGTTCGACATCGCCAGGAACGTGCTGGAGCTCATCTATGGACAGACTCTGGCCTGGTGTGTGTATAATGTGTTATGATGTCACATGTGCATGTGTGTGTGTGTGATTGTTTGTTTACCATGCCATTTACCTGTCATGTTAGTGTATGATGATTATGGTATTACGTGTGTGTGGTGATGATGATGATGATGATGATGATGATGATGATGATGATGGTGATGATGATGATGACGGCGTGTGTGTGTGTGTCTGCAGGTTGGGTGTGCTGTTTTCTCCTCTCCTGCCGGTGGTGCAGATCATTAAACTGCTGTTTCTCTTCTACATGAAGAAGGTTTGCTTGTTTGCTGTTTTGGGTTTTGTTTAGTTTTTTGTTTCATTTTGTTTTGTTCTGTTCCATTTTGTTTTGTTTTGATTCGGTTTGTTGCGCTTTTAGTTTTTTGTTTTGTTTCAGTTTGTTTTTAATTTTGTTTTGTTCCCTTCCATTTCATTCTGGTTTTGTTTTGTTTTTGTTTTTATTTAGTTTTGTTGTGTTGTGTTTTGCTTAATTTTAGGTTTTGTTTCATTTTGTTTTTTGTTTTATTTTGTTTTATTTTGTTTTGTTTTGATGTGTTTTGTTGCATTTCATTGAGTTTTTTGTTTTGTTTCATTTTATTTTTAATTTCCTTTCATTCCATTGAATTTATTTCTTTTTTTTGTTTGTTTTGTTTTCTTTTTTCGTTTTGGTTTTAGTTTCCTTTCATTTATTTTTTTTTTGTTTTGTTTAATTATTTTAGTTTTGTATTGTTTTTGTTTTGTTTTGATGCATTTTGTTGCGTTTTCTTTAGTGTTTTGTTTCATTTCATTTTGTTTTTCATTTTGTTTTGTTCCATTTTGTTGTTTTGTTTTGTTTTGATGCACTTTGTTGAGTCTTTTGTTTTGTTTCATTTTGTTTTTAATTTTGTGTTGCGCATTTTAGGTTTGGTTTGGTTTTAGTTTAGTGTTGTTTTGTTTTGTTGCGTTTCATTTAGTTTTTTGTTTAATTCCATTTCTCTTATTTTCATTCTGTTTTTGTTTTGTTTTGTTTCCTTTTTTTCGTTTTTACTTTTGTTTTGGGCTTTTTGTTTTACATTTTATTTTATATTAAGTTTTATTTTAATATATTTGAGTGTTTTGTGACTAAAAGGAGTCATTTGTGTTTGGCTCACTTTAAAGAAATGATTCGACTCTTTTAAACTTCTCTTGTTCAGGTGTGTGTTTGTGTAAATGAGGTGTGTTTTCTTCATCTTGTTGTTCAGGTGAGTCTGATGATGAACTGTCAGGTGTCGGGGAAGCCCTGGAGGGCGTCTCAGATGACCACCATCTTCATCACACTGCTCTGCTTCCCTTCATTCCTGGGGGCTGCAGTGTGTGTCACCTACACCATGTGGACGTGAGTCTGTGTGTCTTTGTTTTAGCATGTGTGTGTGTGTGTGTTTGTGTGTGTTATGTAAATTGATTTGTGTGAGACTGTGTGTCAGGATACAGTGTGTGTTTTTCTGTTGTGTGTCTGTTTGTGTGTTTGCATTTCTCTTTGCAGTTGCAGGTGTTTGTTTGTTTGTTTGTTTGTTTGTTTTTACTTGATGAAGTGTTCATACGTGTGTGTGTGTGTATGTGTGTTTGTGTGTATGCGTGTGTGTGTATGCGTGTGTGTGTATGCGTGTGTGTGTATGCGCATGTGTATGCATGTGTGTGTGTATGTATGCGTGTGTGTGTGTGTGCGTGTGTCAGTATGAAGCCATCAGCAGGCTGTGGGCCGTTTCGGGGTCTGAAGACGATGTTCCAGGCTGGTAAGCTGTGGGTTCGGGATCTGGCGCTGGCGAACCCCAGTCTGTGGTGGCTGGAGTCTGCACACACGTATCTGGTGGAGAACCCGCTCTTCCTGTTCCTGTCCGCCGCTGTCTTCCTGTGAGTCTCCCTTCACTTTATAGAGCCTTCTCACAAGAGTGTTCAGACGCGTTTAACAAGTTTCATCCTCCAAAGTTATTAGATCTGCTTTCCCCCACAGTCCAAACACATGCGCTATAGGGGAATTGGGTCAGCTAAATTGTCCGTAGTGTGTGTGAAGGAACGTGTATGGGTGTTTCCCAGTACTGGGTTGCAGCTGGAAGGGCTTCCACTGTGTAAAACATATGGTGGAATACTTGGCGGTTCATTCCACTGTGGCAACCCCTGATAAATAAAGAGACTAAGCTGAAGGAGAGTGAATGAGTGATGTGTTGTTCTCCCCCATTCTGAGTGATTGTCTGTGGTTTGGTGTGTTTGCAGGATCGTGATCTACTTCCACAGTCAAGTGCTGGACGGCCAGAGGAAGATCATTGAACTCCTTCAGGAGCAGATTGAGAACGTGAGACTGGGAATCATGGGTAATTAAACACAATACATTCAGTTGTGTAGACTGACGTCACTTCCTGTTCCTGTTTGTGCAGGAGGGCGAGGATAAGAAGTTTCTAATCATGAGACTGCAGGATATACATGAGCGCAGACGAGTCCGTTCACCACGCAGAGGACAACGAGACAACGAGGTACACACACACACAGTTATATAGACACATGCACACACACATACACACACGATTATGATTATATACACAAACGTGTACACACAGTTATATACATGCATACACAGTTATACACACACACAGTTATATAGATAACTTACACACACACAGATATATATACACATGCGCACATACATAGTTATATACACAAACATGCTTGCACACAGTTATGTACATGCATAAAC